CATCTAAATGCTTCTGCATCCAGAGGTCTTGACGGGTATGTTCGTTGATCATGCTATGAAATGGTCGCAGAGTGACAACCAGTGTCTTGGATGAAAATCATGTTGGCAATCCTGTGCTGCTTTGGGTCTACAGATAGTTGCCAGTTTCATTGTCGGTTTTCAGTATTTCCCACATGTGCAAACAGTGTAAATAAATAAATAGGTTTGTTTGTGAAACTATATGCGCATTTACATATGCCAATAATTATATTATATTCACGTTTGTTGCATGTAGGAAAAACATGTTTATGTTAATCCAAAAAAACTGAATATGTGCGTAAAAACATGTGGGTATCTCACAATATGAACATGTTTTTTTTCAAGATATCAAAGGATGATTTCGCCGGCGCTGACGTTAATGACGCTCTTGGCAGGCCCAGTTCCCTGCAGAACTGGTTTGGAAATTACTGCTTTGTTTCAGGGACCCATCGCTATTTCATGCATTTGGGGCAGTGGTTATAAGTTGTAAACACGTATAAAGACCGGTTTCAATACTGTTGGAAAAAAACGGTTTTAGCACAAACGGTTTGTATGACATATCTGCAAATTAGAGGTTGAACATTGGGTTTCCAGCATTTGTATTTGCATAGCTGGAGGCCTAGTGCGTTTGGTTCTTGGGGTTGAGCCCCATTTTTCCTGTTGAGAGGATCGGTTGTGAAACAACTAGTGGTTCATGCTGCACGAAAGGGTGCCCATAATTTCTATGAAAAGCTGGGCCCCAGTAGATAGATAGATAGATAGATCGATCGATCGATCGATAGATAGATAGATAGATAGATATAATATATATATATATATGTATTATATTATATATATAATATTAATATATAATATATAATGTATAATATTAATAATATATATATATATATATTTATATTATTAACATATATTTATAATAAATAATATTGATATTTTTTTTAATATATTAGTATATATATATATGTATTTTGAATACACACACTTTTTATATATATATTATTATTATTATCATTTTAGATTTTATTATATATATATAGAAATTTAATGCATATATATATATGTTTATGCAGATTATTATATATTATATTATATTATATTAGATTATATTATATTATATTACATTATATTTTATTATATTACATTATATTAAATATATATTATTATATTTTATTATATTATATTTTATAGATATTATATTTTATTATATTACATTATATTATGTTATATTATATTTTATATCATATTATATTGTATTATATTATAGTTATTATATTATATTATATTATATTATATTATGTTTTTATATTATATTATATTTTATTGTATTTTTTTTTTTATTATTTTTATAGTTTATATCAAATATACATGTGGATGGACTTGCCCGTTGGATCATCCCACCCAACCCACAAAACAACTGAGGAATCAGATTGCTGAGAGAAGGAGCCAAGAACAACATGATGCTGCAAGACACTCGGCGTTGACAGTTTAATGTTTTTTGTTTTGTATTGGTTTTTGGTGGCTGTTCATACCCAGTCGCACTTTGCGAGCACAAGTCACATCTACTGCCAAGTGTCCATGGGTTGTTACGTATGGCGGAGGTATGTCAACGTAGAATGAAGTTTGAGCATAAGGGTGAATATTTGGATGATAATATTATTATTATATATAGTTCAGAAATGTCCAGTTTTTATTATTATCTAGATATATTCAATGATATTTATGATTATGCAACACAGGTGAGCTGGGTGTTACGATCTTTCTGTAGATGAGACAACCCTAGGATGAGACAACCCTAGGCGGACTTGCCTCACCCAACGTTCTTTCAAGGATTGAAGCGGCTTTGCGAAGCCATTGATGTGGCAAAAAGTGGCAGGTGACCCTGGGTGCCTGGATGGTTCCCAATGGTTTAGGTATGTCTAAACATGTGATGCACCCCAGCTGATTTCTTGAAACCCATCGCTAGATGTTTTTTCTAAACATGGAACTGGAGACCTGCGATCTAGCCTCAACTTGGACAAGAATCTTCCATGGCAAAAATGCCCCAGTTCAGCAAAGACATTCCCCAAGTGATTTGCAGCCTTAAAAATCTTCAAATCCCCATGTTGTTACGCAGGATATTTCGCTGTTTTTTCACGGCAGCTTCAGCAGGATATCTTGGGATGACTTTGAGCACTACGTCTCGAATGAGTCTGCACTAATCTACCTGGTTGCTGGGCTTCCACATAGAGTTGCACATGCACACACACAGAGTCTTATTTACATGTTATACTATATATGTATATTAAAAAAAGTTGGAAATTACTAGTTTACAACTCCGTTATCATTAGTAGACTACTCTACGGCTTAGAGTCACTTCAAACTACAGACAATACAGGGAAACTGCTGAATACTTTTCAGCTTAAAGGCTTGAGAAAAAATATATTGCACCTGCACACCACTTACGTCGATAGAAACAATGAATTCGTTTGCCAACATGAAGTAGTTGGTGCTCCTTCTCAGGGGCCTCTCCGCAAAATCAGACCTTTGACTGAAATTTTGGAAACGAACCGTCTCAAACTACTTGGGCATGTGCTGAGAAGACCGCGGTCACACCCTCAGCATCAAGTCACTTTTGCTTCCTATTTAGCTTTACCAAAACCCCCATCCAATCGAAGAGTCGGCAGACCCAGAAAAAATTGGACTATTGAAAACATGAAACTGGCTTCGAACATACTGAAGGCTAATGATGATGGACTACCAAACCTCAACTTTGATCATCGAACCCTAGTCATTCGCGAAGCGCTCATCGATGCAGCAAGGGCTTATAAACCCCCTTTCAACTGATCACAGATTTTGGTGTGATCAAACTCGTTTTGAACGATACTCTGTGTGAACGAACTCTATGTGAAACGTCTACAATCGAACTCGTTTTGAACGCTACTCTGTGTGAACGAACTCTATGTGAAACGTCTGTGCGTGATGCGCCAGGCACGGAATCCAATAGTTACTTGCCAATTACTCCTCTGCAGAACGATACATGTACATAAATTCCTGTTTGCTAGTGGAGTTTTGTACAGATTGCTGTCTTCAAATTTCACCTTTGCGTAGACTGATTCTCTTTTCGCCTGATTTTGCCCCTCCATAATAATTCGAGCAGCAGGGTAGGGCCAACGGCCGTAAGTCGCGAACTAAATCGGCTCTGGCAAAAAAAAACAAAAACTGTATATATATATATATATACAATTATATACATACACACCCACATATATATATATATATATACCTGGGAACCCAAAAGCCAGTTTTTTTCCATCGTTCGGGGTTGACACGTTTTTTCTGTCATTACGGGTTTGTTGGTTGGATTGAAGGCCCGATCTGGAGAACCCAAATACGGTTTGTTAACGCGCGTGAAGTCGAAAAGAAACTTTGGGTTTTTATTGGGTTTTTATCAATATTGTTCGGTTTTTTTCTGGCGAATTGTTGGGTTGAGTGCGCCTTTGGGCCAACTTTGGCCCAAAGTTCCAAAGTCAATCAAATTGACATGTTTTTTCCATCAAATGCTACTTATTTTCAGTCAAGATGAAACAGGCACATACCGCCTGTTGACAATTTTCTTCAGTCATTGCGGGAAAAAACATGCGAAGTTGGAAATTTGACTATAAAAACATGTCATTACTAGTAATACGGCATATGAACGAAAAAATATTGACGTTTGGGTTCCCAGGTATATATATAATATTAGAAATATATCATATTTGTAAAAATGGAAATTGTGTAAGAAACATGGGTTTGCCTGATTCCAGCCTTCCAACATTGCCATGTTGCCTCTTGGCACCTCCAACAGTACCCGAGCAAGAGCGATATTCCATGGAAGAGGAAAGGGAGGACTCGCAGATTTGATGAGTTGGAGTGTTGCTACAAAGGTCACTCTATCCTGATACAGTGGGGAGTCCTTTGATGAAGTCAACATGCCAAATTGGGTTTCATGCAAGCCCGTGTTCATGGTTTGAACTAGCTTCAAGCTGGCTCTTCATGCGCGCAAAGAGTGCAAACTTATGTTTCGTGTCCATTGAATTATCACGTCAGAGATCTTCAGAGGACTTTGTTCTGTCCTGGAAGTGGGTTCTCATACAGACAACCTCAATTGACAAAGCCACTATCATAGAGAATTCAAGCGTGTCAAGACATCATGCTTGGACCACAAGTGTCGTGGAGTTTCCCTAGCTGAGTCCTCAATTGAAATGATGTCACCATATGTGACCTTTTCGACCGGAACTTTATCGAGGAACATGATGATCGATTAGCCCATTTTCAGACCAAGCCATCTTGTGCGATATTTGGGCGTTAGATGCATTATTTCGGACCCATTTGCAGTAGATAGCGGACATCGGAAATAGCACCTGTGTGACAAGGCATTTATTGGCTCCGGAAATTCAAGAGGTGGGCAAGTATCTCCCAATGTGAGTTCCCAAATAGTCCAAAATGTTGTTAAATCTTGAAGCACACTGGCCAAACATGTTTTGAACACCCATCATTACCAGCCAAAATCTGCAGGTCTGAAAATTATCACCCAGACTCAGACATATATATATATTATATCATATGTATTTATTTATATATATATATATATACAAATATATGTCATTTGCATATGTATCAAGCACACACAAACACATATACACACACATATATATATATATACATGTGTCTATCCCAGGCTTCCTTGGGGCTGGAGATTCACGATGCAAAGACCTTCTTCGACATGTTGATCGGTGTCTCAGACGTCACTTGGCTCCAAGGGATGATCGGAAATCGCCAGAGATAGTGTAATCAAAACCATTGATGGTTGATAATGGTGGTATATATGGCACCAATATATGGTGATATATATGGTTAATATAATGGTGATAATATTAATGATATGTATAATGCTTGATAATGGTTGGTGGTTTGGAACATGGCTTTGATTTTCCCCAATAGTTGGGATGATGATCCAATCTGAC